AAAAAAAGAAGGGAACAAGAACGCGGACACTCGGCCTCCAACTACTCGCGGGTAATCAATGAGGCATAACCAGAACGAGCAACGGAGCATGCGGTCGCGATCAATGCTCGCTCTCTCTTCTTTCTCCTCCTTCTTCCTTTCTTGCTCTCTTTCATTATTTTGCCAGGCACTTTCACCACGGCAAACATTAACTCCAGGACACTTCATCTGACCCATGCACCAACCAACCAACCACCCCTTCTGTACTTTTCACCTCATTGCACCCACATCCCCAAACGAAAGTGGGTTTACTTCGACGTTATACAGCGGGATCGCCAAAGCCAGGGGTTTTTTTCCACCCGGCGGAAATCTGGGCACTGGTCACACGGTACAATACGTAGAATGACCCACTAAAAATAGGAGCGCTAAAATATCCTACTTCAGTAGAATCTCGTTGCAACAAAGCGTCTGGGACCTTGAAAAAAAAAGCTTCATGGTGAAAAGTTTACGAAAACGAAATCAAAATAACGTCGTGGATGTTGGACAGAGGGACCAACAATAAAGAAATTCGTAGTAGACAATAATTCTTCAGAGGTGAACTCTCTCTTCACAACGATATTCAAGGGACCAGTAAAAAAATCGTTTTAGGGAGAATTTCGTCGTAGAGAACCCATATACAGTAACATGGTGAGAGAACCCTATGTGAGTTTGAAAAATCGTTACACAGATAATATCGTTGTGAACGAGATCGTCGTAGAGAAATTCTACTGTTATACGTTTGCATCAGTCAAAACTAGTGAAAGGGGCTGATTTGACGAATGGCCAATCGAAAGATGCAACAGTCGCACATGAAATCCAAAATACTGTCAATACCAGCCCACTCCAAATTCAGGATACGACGTACAGCGTTCAGAGTTAAAGCCACAGAAGCCCAGCTGGTTGCTTGGTGCTGGACATCCAGCATGTGGCCCAGTGTCCTGGTTCCCTATCTTTTATGCGGTTCAAATGACCAAAATGTTGAAAATGCCCAGGCTACGTTTTTCCTTAGTCACCAAGTAGTGCTTTCGGCCTCTATAGGGGACGAATGGATGAAAGTTAAGAATATACCCGGTTATATTCATAGTAAGAGAAATGATAAGACGAGATGTGATCAGCATCTTGGGGGAATACCCGCAGGCAATGTCGGAAATTCAGAGTACAGACCATGTAATGACGCCATGTTCATACTATTTACTGTACTATGAACATGACGAGCTCCAACACAATAAATCCAACAGAGACTTCCAAAGTTGAAACAATTCCAAACTTTTTGGCTTAGCATATACGGTATTTACAAGTTCTTGTTCAGTACTGCATAGCACAACTCATCGAGCAATATTACAGCTCTGCCATAAAATAAGCCATACGTAAACTTGAAAGGTACTTTGACGTAGGTAAATTCCCTCTCATCGAACAAATGTATACATCCGTCACTACAAATATACAAAAGGTTTCATTTTAATGCGCGAATGCATCGAGATTTTCGTGATTTCAAGGATGTCAAGTGTGATTAGGCGAACGATCCAGGCGACACCTACCTAGAATTTCATAAATAAGTGCCAGGCGTTGGAAATGGAAATAACCGCAATCCAATTTACCGCATGTTGGCTATTTTCGCTTCGTTATGAAACACAAGCAAACGAGCAGTAAATGGCAGGGAGAGTGGAAGAACAATTGGGGTTTTCAATCAATGTGACCCCTGCACATAATCCAGAATAATCGACATCACGTTTTGAAGAAACGAAACGCGGAGCTATTGAATCGGTTTCTGGACCACCCATTATCGTATCAGTGTGTCGAAGCGTGGCGAATAAATCGATAGATTTGAAGAAAAAAATGTGGCTTTCGAAAGTAACGTGGAAAAAAAACTAGGAGACTGATTTGTGAACGACTGGGCTACTACAGTTTGAGCATTCGCCACGGATAAACAAATGAAAAAAGCATTCAATTACCTTTCGACTGAGGTTCCCATTGAAAACTTTTAATGCATGGCTATGATTAAAAGGTGCACTTTAATCGAACGCATTTGCATTACATGATAACAAATTTCATTTTCATGACATGGATTTTTCATTACTATGAAGTGAGGTTGACAAAAAAAAAAACTCCATGAAGCCCACGTGAGAATTTCAGCTCCATGTCGCGACTAAAAATAAAACGCATAAATAAAAAACGTAGCCTAAATAAAATGCAAGCGTTTAAATTACATTCCATATGAAATTAAAGAATTAACTTTCGCGCAGTACTGTATTTCACTTTTCCGTATTATTCAACAATTCGAGAGAAATTAAATTTCAAGAGGAAAGATTCTTCAAATCATCCCAGCAGGTGACCAAGTGAACCAACTCGTGACTATAAAAAACGGTCATCCTTGAATACTGATGAAAATCCGTTTCTTAAATACAGGATATACGAAGGAGCAATATAAAGGGAAATAAGGTCGTAAAACGAATCAATAAAAAATAAAGCCCAACTCCTGAAACTGCATCGAAATGAAATTTGCATACTGAAATTGATCCCGTTGGAATGGACGTGTACACGCATCAATACTGGAAGAAGAAATTGGGGAATGTCAGATAAAAACATCTTCTTAGTCATCACCTTTCATCGTAGTTGAGCTAATTACTATTACGTATTTTTTTATTGGCGAAGGCATCCAATTTGAAACAAGAATGTCAAGGATTAATGAGGTGAATTACGAGGACATGATTAGAAGCACGAAATTTAATAGATAAATTGTTTAAAATAAGAGCTGCTTGCTATATGAGAAAAGTAGGATAAAAGTCAGATCAGTCCTCCTTCAAAATGATTAAAAAGTTTTAGATCATAAGCGTTTCCTGTTCTAGAAAAGATACAGAAAAAAAACTGATCTCAGTTTTCAATCGTTTGCAGGAAAGCATTCCTAATGGATCAAATAACAAACTTTGAACGAGAAAATAAAATTTTTGAGGCTGGTTGATAATTTAATGTTAACTGAAATTTTTTTTTTCAAATCGAATAAGCAAACTTGATGCCGGTTTACCACAAAAGATCGAACATTGACAGAGCGAGTAAAATCCCTCAACTCGAAATTTAAAAATGTAAAATAATGTACCTATTTTTTCAGTCGCTTTCATGTGGAATTGATCTTTGGATACTCTCTTTTGGGTACTTGCTCTTCAGTTATTGCTTTATTGAGACTTGAAGATGGTCTAATTACTCTAATACGCAGACTGCACACTGAATATCACATTAGCTCGACTCTGGCATAAACCAATGAAGGCTTTACGACAATATGAGTTTTAATTGTACAGTACATCCAATATTGTCACGAATAGTCACGCTACACAAGCAGCAAATGTACAACATGAAAGAAATATAATCATTCATGAATACTTGATGACAGGAATATCGTCACGGAGTTGACAACAGGGTTTGCTGATGCGTCGCAGTAACTACTGTTCTTATTCAACTCTTTTTGAAAGTTAAAACGAAATTCTTCCATTGCTGATGGTAAAACCAGATTTTTAAAAATATTTGAACTTCAAAAACCTTGAAGCTTACTATGAAATACAACGAAGAAGCTTCAACAGAAACGGCCCGAGTCCACAGCCGCACGTAGAATATTAGATTATTACTATCAAAAACTGCTGGGAAATCCACAAACCACACACTTTTGAAGTTGAATTCCGTTATAAAGATCACTAAGTTTCCGAAAAGCTACTACAGTGATAAAATTTTTGTCACGACCACAGCCGAAAATGCTTGCCAATAAAAAAAACACATATTTTTTGAAGACAGGAGAGCTGTCTACAGTTATACTCTGCTACCTCATATTCCAAGCTTGTGGAAGTAGAGGGAAAAGTCGGACATTTCCTGGACAAATGTCGGATTTGTTCAACGAATTTCCGTCTAACAAATAACAGGGACACAATAATTCCTCCCTGAATATTCCAAAGCCTTGACCCATCTGACTTAAACAGACAATAATCGTAGTTCACCAGATGCCACCAATTCCCTCCCCTTTCACCGACAACCACCCTCGATTAATTAATCATAAATAGGCCACGTATCTCACCCAAATTGAACCAACATGGTTATTTTCTTCCGTTGTCCCACCTTAATTTGAAAAGGTAATTCTTCCACGAAATATTCACGTAGTCACTAGTAACGTTCCATGAGTCTAAATTAAGCTCAAGGCAGGAGAGTTCAGAAAACCCGTTGTGTAAGGCGACATTAAAAACCTTCAAGTAGACCCTAGCAACAGGATTGCTCGCATGGGGCACAGACACAGAAGAAAGAAAGCATAACCCAGCGAGGCCAGAGAAGTACAGTAATGTACTCAACTTCGTACTTGATTTTCCTTCGGCATCTACGCTTCACTGCATCTTGATATCTCGGTGTTACATCATATTTCGCATTCAATCATAGCCATTAGGAGTGAAAATCCGCGCTGGGGACTACTAGTACTGTACAGTACAGTACAAGGAAAGTTCTCATGTTCAGACACTTGTGTTCGACAGCTCAAGGAAAACTGAGCAGCCTGAACTAACGTCAAGTTTGTTCCGGTGAGCAGGCATTGTGAAAGGCCCACAGCTTGATTAGCTTTTTTCGCCGCTGCGAAGAAATCAGCAAACTTTCTCCTCGCCTTGACGAGTTTACTTCCCTGCTCCTCCGACATGCCTTCTTCCCTGCTTACTCTCTACTTTCGCTGTTTCATCACTCGTGCACAGAGGACACAACTTCAAATACAATACGTCAAACTTTGAAAGATTTGTCTTTTAGAGATTACAGCAGCTAACCCCTTTCCTTATTGCAGATGAAAACTCTCGCTACCCAGGGGACGAAGCATATATGTATCATAGAATACAGATGGACTCTCTCTTTCCCTCTCTAACAAAATTCAAGTGACCAGCAAAAATCGAGAGAATTTCTTTGAAGAGAAGCCCTATCACATGGGGATGGAATTCTATGGAACTAAATAGAGATTCGTTATACAGAGAAGGTCGTGGTAAAGAGGATTCACCTGTATCATAAATCAAAAGCTTTACATACGAAAATAGTATTTTATACAGGAGAAATGACTCAAGAACTGAGATGAGGCCTAGAAAATATCCTTAATGGAATCCCTGTAAAATACTGTACTCATAAGAACCAAAAACATATATGATACAGGTGGACTCTCTCTACAACAATCTTGTGTGCAACGATTTTCTGTG